ACAAGAAATAGAGAGAGTGAAAGATAAGATAAGATAAGATAAGATAGGATAAGATAAAGTGATACTTATTATCCAAGAGGAAAATTTTCTTTGCTGTACAGGACCGTAAAACACATGCAGGTATAGATCTACATAAAAAATTGTAATCATATTACTCTCTTCAAAATTCAATATGAAAAGAGAAGTAAAGCTGACAAGATGTACATATCACATCAGATGCATCATTCAGCCACATACAGGAATTTAATTACTAGACCTTTGGAGTCATATATAGATATACATCTTCGAAAGAGCAATACACATCTCTGCTTATTCTGACAATAGCCTCGAGCTAGATAGTCCCAAAAAAACTGTTATATCTTTCTTTCTTTGTTTTTGTAGATACATATTTTACAATTTGTGTGGAAAGGGGGTGTGGTGGGTCGTCAATTTTTGGGAATGTGGAGTTATTGGTATCATCTAAAAAGCATGTTCATTAATTGAAGACATGCTACACCACGGCTTATACTGACAGAAAAACAAACAAGATTAGACACAAAGGGAGACATACATCGAGGGACATCGAATTACTCACCAAGCGCAAACCGTCAGAGAGAAGTGGTTCAAGGATTCATCATCCATGGACAATTTCAGGTCAAAGAATGTCTCCTCAACCTCTTGTAGCACGTTGAAGAAGACTGCCAACTGAAAACATCAACAATCATAATAATATTATTATGGAGTTATATTCGTATCATATCAAAGCTTGTTCAATTGTTTTGCATTTTGGCAAAGAAAAAATACACATCTATCTTGAAATGAAGTCAAGATAAGTATTAAACATTTGTGATTAAAGGAGATGGGGTTCGCTTGGCGTCGAAGGTAAATCAATTAGCAAGAAAATGGTCTCCAAAGTTTGGTGACCTCCAAAGCTTGAGTGTCCTTGCACACTACAATTTACTTTTTTGTGTACTTTTGGTCAACATTAATTTTTTCACAACAATCCAGACAGAAATGTGTTCTTAAATAGACATAGATGGTATTGAGCAAAACTTTTTTAAAAACATGAAAATTCGACGAAAAAAAAAGCCAAGACCTCCCCCCAAAAAATGCTGGTTTCCTCAGTTACATTATTTTGAAGAGCGCCCGATTTCACTACACTGCCCCGTGGAAGGAAAAGAAATCAAATGATGTAGTGCTTGATGAAGCCCACGTGGGAAAAGACAAGTGTAGTTTTTAGGACACCTGAATAGACACAAAGGTCTTGAACATCTAGCTCTCATTGGCAAAATTGAAGGCCATCGATTCAGGGGTAGGCCCCGAGCAGCCTACTTAGGGGACCTAAACAAATGGGTAACTGGGAAAGATCAGAGTAACGTAGGTTTTTTAAGAGCATCCGAGCAAAGGAATGAAAGGAGAACCATGATCGTCGATGTCTGTCGCAAATCTGGCACTGGATGATGATGATAATGATGATGATGATGATGATGATGATGATGATGATGATGATGATGATGATGAT